TGTGAGCTAATTCCTTAAAATAGCTCTATCTCTCCCTCATTCTCTGTTTGTTAAACCCTGACTAATACAGTGGTTAACTGATGGCTAATTTCAGTTGGTTTTGTATCTCTGCTGCCTCCTTTAGCACTCTTCTTTTCAACCCAGACTTTTTTTCCACAAGAGAAAATCAAAGTTTTTAATGCATGCACATGGGGAATCCAAATAGGCATGAAAATTCCCAGGGACAGTGAGGCAACATTAGGTATATAAGACATTTTGAACAAAAGAGAAAATGGGAGGGTGGGCAGGGTGCTGGATTTCAGAAGTGAAAATGGGCGATTTACAAGCAGTTGAGAGGGAGAGGAACATACACCACAGGAAAAATCCTGCTGGGTGACTCAGAAACAATATCTAGCTAATAGGCCCCTGCTTGAACCCTCTTATTTGCCATAAGTGAAAATTTATAGTTTCTAAAAAGAGGGCTGCAATATGTAAAGTTGGTGCTACCATTTGGGGGGGGGGGGGATAGATTAAGAAAAAAGCAGGAATCAGAGATTAGTTTTATCTTTAAAAAATTTGCCCCACACAGAATCTTTAAAATAGACATTTATGCAAAACTTACCTACTGTTCTTATGACATTTAAGTAAGTTAACACAAAGTGGAAAATATGGTGTTAGTTTTCTTCTTTTCCTCTGTTATTGAAACTAGAAAACACTCTGGAATTCAGGCTGCCTGTCACTACCAAACCCAATAAGCAATGACAACGATTGAATCTTTATGGGCACTTTATTCAGATGGCCGGTGATCTGAGAAGATGGTGGGTTCATACCCTAACAGACCATCTTGTCTTTTCTTTCCAGGCCAGACGTTTTATAACTGGGGTGGAGGTGGGTAGGGGTGGGGGGAATAAACAAGGTGTGGTGAGGGCTTTGAGATTCAGGGAGGATTAGGTGAAAGAAGCTGCAACATTCTTGTCCTGGGCAGTGGGGGGGTGGGGGGTGTGGGGAGTGGTCCTCTGTCTCTCCCTGCAACACAAAGGCCAGGATGCCTCCAATTTGTCCCCAGGTGTAATCTCTAGCCAGTGCCCCAGGAGGGCGGCTGTTTTCCCAGGAGCTAGGATGGGCCTTATCTGTAGTTTCTAAAACAAAAGCTTTAACAATAAACATTACTTGCTAGACTTACAAGGTTTTATCTTAAGCTAAAATTTTCCAAGTCTTGAGTCCCCTATCACTTCCAGGTAGACAAGTAACGGCAAGGTGAACTCCCTTAGGTCTCTGCTTAGTTTTCACTGGATCAGGGGTTGATCCTGCCCACTTGATATAAAATAGCACGTACCACCCTCTCAACCTCCCACTTCTTTTTAACCTTTCAAGTATAATGTACACAGTCTTAAGCCTTCTCCCATGAATATGAGCACCCTGATTTCTAACAGCATTAATTAGTTTTGCTTGTTTTTGTACATTACATAAATGGAACCACACAGAATGTACTCATTTGGGATTGACTTCTTTCATTCTACATGAAGTCTGCAATTTATTCACGTGGCTATGTATCATTTTAGTTCATTCATTCTCATTGCTTATAGTGTTCCATTATGTTAATGTGACACTATTTATTTATCCACTCATTGATGGGCATTGGGGCATTTTCAATTTTGAGTGATTGGGAATAAAGCTTCTGTGAACATTCCAGTATATGTCTTTGGGTGAACATATGTAAACATTTCTGTGTGGTATATACATTTTACCTTGGAGTGAAATTTCTGGGTCACAGACCTACTTTTTAAAGGTTTTAAAAAATTATTAAATCTTTCATGTATTAAAAACAGTGTTTGTATGTATACAGTTACTCACAGACTTAGATCTTAAGAAATAGTATGTTACTGCCGTAGTCCATTCAAATGGGCTGCTATAACAAATATCAGAGACAAGGAGGCTTATTCAAAACAAAACATTTATTTCTCACATTTCTGGAGTCTGGGAAGTCCAAGATTAAGGCAGCAGCAGATTCAGTACCTGTTGAGAGCCCACTCCTGTTCATAGACTGCCATCTTTTTGCTGTGTCCTCATATGATGAGAGGGGTAGAGACTCTGGAGTCTCTTTTATAAAAACATTGATCCCACCCTGGCTGGTGTGGCTCCATTGTTAGGAGTGTCATCCAATAACTTTTAACAGTTGTTGAAATGTTGTGGGTTTTATTTCCGATCAGGGCACATGCCCAGGTTGCACATTTGGTCCCCAGTCTGGGCATGTTTGGGAGACAACTGATTGATTTTTCTTTCAAATTAATGTTCCTCTCCCTCCTTTCCTCTCTCTCTAAAAGTAATTAAAAAATGTTCTTGGGTGAAAATAAAAAATTTTTTAAATAGTAAGAACATTAATCCCATTCATGAGGGCTCCATCCTCATGACCTAAGCACCTTCCAAATTCTCCACCTCCTAATACCATTGCATTAGGGATTAGGTTTCAATATACGAAGTTGAAGTGGGACAAAAACATTTAGTCTATCCCTGGCTGGTGTAGCTCTGTGGATTGGGCACGGTCCTGGGAACCAGACAATTGCAGTTCGATTCCCAGTCAGGGCACATGCCTGGGTTGCAGGCCAGTTCCCAGCAGGGGACGCACGAAAGGCAAGCATACATTGATGTTTCTCTCCCTCTCTTCTTCCCTTCCCTTCTAAAGATTAAAAAAAAAAAATTCAGTCTATAACAATTATCAATATTTTTTAACTTTTTGTACTTTAGTCTATCTCACCCCCATCTTTATCCCACTAGTAACCATTTTGCCGAAATTTATTATTCCCTTGATTTTCATTATTTTGAGATATATATCCCTATTGTTTTATATGTATATATGTATCTCCCTGAATGATACATTATTTTGTTTTTTGTTTTTGAACTTGATGTAAATGGAATTCTGCTTTATTTTTTCATAGCATTTCTCAGCAATTAACATTTATTTTCTGATTGATTGATTGATTGTCTGAGGTCACCCTCTCCCTTACAGCTCCTTGAGAGCTCTCATTTTTATTCACTATTGTACCTCCAATTCCAAGAAGAGCATCTGGTACATAGAATTTGCTCAATTAACAGTTGTTGAATGAAAGACAGAGAAACCTTGCTTTCTATATGACTAGTATGATTCAAGCTGTTTGTGAAGATGAAACAATTTAATGATGGCTAATGAGCATTGTTCTGCTAAGGCTTCCTCTGTGTCAAGAAAAATGAGTGCAGGAAATTCAGTAATATTAAATGCAGCTTTAAAATAATAAGAAACCTAGTTGGCCCATGGAGCAATGGAAAAAGCGTCAGCATCAGCAGACTCAGACTGGAATCTGGCTCTGCCACTTGCCAGTGGGGCCCTTGTTAGCAACATTCAGCCTTTCTTAGTGTCTACTTCCTCATCCGCAAAATTGGGGTACTAGTACAGGGTGGTTACTGTGAAGGTTAGATGAGTGCATGGATGAAAATGCTCTGAGCAGTGAGTGCAAAGAAAATGATACTACAAACTGTCATCAATACTGAGGCTCAGGAAGGCTTTGCAGATTAAACATCTCCACACTGTATTTTACTCTCTCTCTACATCCTCCTTCACTTTAAATTTTTTAATTATAAACATAACTCCTCTTTTAAAATGCATCTTCTCTAATGAGTTTTCTCCTCAAGCAACAGTACTTAGTTTTATTTTATTGAGATATAATTTACCACTTTAAAGTGTACAGGTCAGTTGTTATTACATTTCCAAAGTTGTGCAATCATCATCACTATAAAATTCCTGAACATTTTCATCACCAGGAAAGAAACTCATGCCCCTTAGCAGTCACTCTCTATTACTCTCCTGTCCCCCCAGCCCCAGGCAACCACTTATTTGCTTTCTGTCTAGTTTAGACATTTCACATAAAGAGAATCACACAATATGTGGCCTTGCGCATGTCTGATTTCTTTCACTTAGCTTAATGATTTCATTGCTTATTTGTGTCCTAGCTGGTATTAGTAATTAATTCCTTTTTTAAAGGTGATAATATTCCATTGTACTGATGATATGTTACTTTTATTTATCTATTCTTCAATTTAGGGATATTTGGGTTGTTTACATTGGGAGGTATTATAAATAATGCTGCCACAACATGTGATACAAGTTTTTGTGTAAACATATTTGTCAATTCTCTTAGGTACATAACTAGGAATGGAATTGCTAAGTCACACAGAACTCTGTATTTTACTTCTCCAGGTACCGCTGATGTTTTCCACAGCAGCAGCACCATTTTATACCCCCACCAGCAATGTATTAGGGCTCCAATTTCTCCACATCCTTTCCCCACACATACTTGTTTTATTTCTAGAATCATCCATTTTACTTAACCAACACTGCCTCAGTCACATTAGTATTGCAGCAGGTCTAGAAACTACTGAAATGAAAACACAAAATTCCTATGTGACAATCATGTTTTTCTTTTTTAAATGACTCCATGGTACTGTTTCTAGTTTTTCCTGGCAGAGAGTATCCAGTATTGAAGTTGTCTTGCCCAGCGGGAGACTCAATTCACCATCACACGGCTCCTTATAGAATTCCTGGAAGAAACGCCGTTTTGGGAACCAATCCCTGCCGTAAACAGAGAACAGTCTAGAGTAGGCCTAAGAGTAGCATTTGAATTGCTTTTCACATGCAGGTCACGTCATTTCACTTAATTCGCTTGCTACCGTCACAGCTGCGAGCAGCGTATGGCAGGCAGAAACCCTATGCCAAATCCTGGGCACGCAGGCTCCCACACTCCTCCCTCTGGCACCGCCCCCTCCCGCCCACCACCATAGGCCCACCCCTTCGCCAACACTTACCCCTCCTTCACACACTCTGGGGCAGGGGGGCGGGGAGATGGGTGTTAAAGATGGTCTGCGACCAATCCGCATGCATCTCCGACAAGCGGCTCTCTTACACTGGCAGATTAAGTTTGATGACTTGGTCAAGTTCCAATCCACATTCCGGGGGCGTGGCTTAAGTCCAGCCGACGCAAGGCAGGAGGAGGCGGAGCCTGTCTGGTGGAAGCACGTGACCTGGTCCTGGATCCGGAAGCTACCTATCTAGTAGGGAGCACCCCTCCGCACCTAAGGCTGCGATGGTGAGTGAGGACGCATGCGCGGGAGTACCTGCTGGGGGTTCTGTGTCCCTGGTCCCCAATCTCAGTTTACCCCTTCCATTCGTGGGGCCGCCCTCCGCCCTCACTGCCTATTCTCGCCTGGACAGAGATGGATTGGAGCGAGAGGTGGGGGAGGAGGGCGGTGGCGACGTAGAGGGCTGAGGAGGGGTCTTTGGGAGGGTGTACGAGGGCTGAGCAGTAGTGTGCAGAGGAGCAGCTGGCTACTGGGGAATTGGAGAGGGGGGCCGGAGAGAGGGGCCAGTGAGGCTGCGAAGGCCTCCGGTGGTAGCAATGGTGGGATGTGGAAGGCCAAGGGATCCCAGGAGCAGAGGGTGAGGACAGATCAGAGGCTCAAGAAGATCAGTGTTGTAGGCCATGTAGAGGGAGGAGGGTCTGGAAGGGCCCTGGCCTGGGAAAGAGAAGGTCTAGGGCAGGTCAGGAGAGACGTGGGTTGCAAGTGAAGAATTTCAAGGGCCAACCTCCTAGCAGTGCTTCTTACTGATTCCATCTTTATCCACTAGACTTCTGCACTGACCCAGGGGCTGGAGCGAATTCCCGATCAGCTCGGGTACCTGGTTCTGAGTGAAGGCGCAGTGCTGGCGGTGCGTTCTGGGCAAGGGGGTTTACCCCAAGTACACACGGCCGGGTGATCCCTTCTAACATTGCCCACTTATTTCCCGCAATTCACGGTCTTAATTGGTACCATTCCTGCCTGGCATAGAGCAAGTTTTCGATAATTAAATAAATCTCTGGAATCTTAGAGTGGTAAGTGTTCTGAAATAAAAGGGTTTACTAACTTTACCAAAGTCAAACAACTAGTCACAGGTTTGTTGGTAACTGATATTACCCAAGTTATTCTCTAATATGTCTTTATTTGGTATTTTTAAAAATATTTTATTTATTTATTTAGAGGGGACGGGAAGGAGAAAGGGAAACATCAATGTGTGGTTGCCCCCCATGTGCCCCCCCTGCAACCCAGGCATGTGCCCTGACTGGGAATCGAACCGGCAACCCTTTGCTTCACAGGCCCATGCTCAATCCACTGAGCTACACCAACCAGGGCTTTATTTGGCATTTATCGAAGGGGATTTGTATTTTGTTTCTTAGTATACTACAGTGTTAGTTCTCTAGAAGTTTTCAGTCTAGCTAGAAACAAGGCTCATGGGTAAAAGTTGAAGGCGGTGCCCCTGGTAAGACTACTGATACTGAGTCCAGAAAATGGAGGATTCAACCCTTAACGTTATAACTTGTGTTTCAACAAGGAATCCTTGGAGGACATAAATTCAGCTGGCCTTAAAGGATGGATGGTTGTGAACAGGCAGAAAAGGAAATGGCTGAGAGGTGGAGATATTTGTGGGAGTGACACCAGCCTGTTTGACTTGGTGATACATTTATGTTAAAAAGATTTCAAAGAAGGGAAAGAAGGGAGTGTGGTTAAGGAAAGATTTGATTGTGGAGGACTTCCAGGCTGGGTTAGGACATTTGGATTAATCTTGAGGGCAATAGGAGCTTTGAAGGGTTTTGAACAGAAACGTGTGCTGATGAAATAGTTGAGGCAGATTGTTCTAATAGGTGTGAATTTGGGCAGGAAGGGGAGGGATCCAGAAGTGGGGAAGCTGCTGAAGGAAATCTATGGGTCTGGACTGGTGGCAGTGAGGAGCAAGGAGACGTTTTAAAGTAGGAATCAATATATCTTTGTAATGACTAGACATAATGTAATAGAGGAGATACTTTTACTTTCTAGGTGGTGTCTTTAACAGGAAATTACTAAAGGAAGTTGATTGGGGAATGGGAGCGGTAAGGGGAATTGTGGTGGCTTGACCTAGGACGTTGAATTCGAAATAGGGTAATAATAGTTAATTTATGTACATAAAACCCTTACAAGACCATAAGATAGGTAATGTCTCTAATTTACAGATGAGTAGACTGAGGTACAGATGTCCAAGAGAGCAAAGGGAACTGAACTTAACCTAGTGAGAGGCCCATATCAAGGAGGTAGGGAGAAGTTGCAACAGTCACCAGAAAAAAAGGAAGCCCAGACCACTGACGTTATTACTCAAGGCCTAGGTAATAGGAGGGGGTTCAAGGATAAAAAATGTTTATTTCAGATTCAACAGACAGGGCTACAAGTGGAAAGATTGAGGACAAGGTGGAGCCTTGAACAAGTCAGTGGTGGGTGGGCACTGGTGTTTGAGAATGTGGTTATATCAAATAAGTGGGGACAGGGCGAGAAATCTAGTTTTGAGGGGTTAGAAAACTGGTGGTTAGTAAAGAAGTGGATAAGAGTCACTGCTCATCATGGGAAGCCCAGAACAAGGATGAGAAACTGTGGCATCAAGGGCAATGTAGTAGGAAAGTTTCAGGTTTGTTTTTCCAAAGCTGAGGTGACCATTGGGAGAGAGTACCAAAGCTAGAGCCAAGTGACTCTTCCTGGAATTCTTTCCCAATTCTGTTCCCTAATTTCTGCCATCCTCCTTCCTTTGTCTGCATGTAGTCATCTGGGGATCTAGAGAATGATGAGCAGGCAGCCAGTGCCATCTCTGAGCTGGTCAGCACAGCCTGCGGTTTCCGGCTACACCACGGCATGAACATACCCTTCAAGCGCCTGTCAGGTGAGCCACAGCCCTTGCCCCTGAGGGTGGTGATAGGAAGTAGGGTATTCCCAGAGGTGGGGTGCTGTCCTCAGGGGAAAAAAACAACTTGTTTCCTCCCAGCATCCTACCCTCTCTCCCTGGGGTCCCTGGTTCTGGCCACTTTCTTCCCTTTGGGATGCACCCCTGCATCTCGGAAGTATGAGAAAATGAGGGGATTGAATGGAGACCTGCCACCTTTAGATCTCTTGAGTCTTGAACCATCAAATTTCTTTGGCTCTTGATCCCAGCCAGTTTGTGTGAGATCCCATGGAGGCCATTGCATCCCACTGATTCGGTGCTCCCTTCCCTTTGCTGGGGCTTGGGAAGGTGTGTCTCCCTTCCAGTGGTCTTTGGAGAACACACGCTGCTGGTGACCGTGTCAGGACAGAGGGTGTTTGTGGTGAAGAGGCAGAATCGAGGCCGGGAGCCCATTGACGTCTGAGCCTGCCAAAGGCGAGGGGCAGAGGTGGACTGGGTCCATGAACCTCTGATGACAAAGATACAAACTTCTTCCACCTTTCTTGGCCTGCTGCTAGAACTAAGGCTTTCTGTTCCCCCCTCCCCCCACCCCGCCCCCATTACCTGGAAGGGCTTGGTGACTGCACTGTGTTAAGGACTGTGAGGAAATAAACATGAGTCTGTTGATGTTCCCCGGCCCAGAGATGTGTGTATGGAGTGGGGGGGGGGGGTGGGTGCTATACCCATATCTTCCACCTTCTAGGAAGAAAGTCTGGTACCTTGGCCCAAAGGTGTGGATCTTGGCCACCTCTGGGCATATGAAACTGGGAATCAAAAATAAATGGGGGAAGGGAGCTGACAGGAGCTATTTGGTATGCATGCTGAAGGGAATCATTTTGAGCTTCTGAGTCTCTGCTCCTGCCACCCACACACAAAAAACAGTCATTCTTCTCCCTCCTGAACAGGCATTTAATAGTCTCATTTCTGTGGAAGCAGTAGTTGGAGAATAAGTTACAGGGACAGACCAAAAAAAAAACAAAGACAAAAAACCCCATACAACTTAAAGTGCTTCAGGCTGCAAACGTAAACAAGAGGGGCAGGAGGAGGCCACCTAGCTATCTCCTCTCCCCTCTGACACAGGAGGGTCATTGTCTGGGTCCCTTTACCATCACCACCCTCTAATCTCAGCCCTGGGGTGGGTGGGTGGGTGGGAGGGAATGTCAAAGGCAGGAAAGACAACTTAATAGGAATGAGAAAACACTTTGTAAACTTAGAGCCAGGGTACAAGGCAGGGAACAAGGGAGCTCTTGGAACCCTTGCCCTGATCCAGGGGTGGGGCCAGCCCCCCCAGGAAGTCAGGGAAATACTATTGGTTTAGTGCTGCAGCCATGCCCACCCAGTTCACAGCTTCTTCTCTCATCAGCAGACACGGACAGGCGCCCTGGAGGGCCTCCTCCCCCATAGCAGGAGGCATCCCTAGGGGGGCACAGCCTAGAACAAGGACCCCTGTGGAGGCATTTGATTCCTGGGAGTGTAAGAGAGCCAGCACAGTGCTACTTGACAGGCTCCACCACCAGGACCTTGCACTCGCGCTTGGCAATCTTGTCCAGAGAAAGCACAGCCTTTTCTGGGGGCAAGTAGAGGGGGCGGCCAACAGGGGAGGCCACGGGGGGTGTGATGGCCCTGCGCTCCATCACACTGCCCGACCTGGAAGAAGGCAGAGGATGTGGGCTCTGGTTAGACCTCAGGAACTCTTCCTGCTCCCTCTCCAATTCTGGCCTCAACCGAGTCCAGTGGCACCCCTCCTTTGGTTCCATACCTCATGAGGTGGCTGCGAGAGGGCTGTTGGTGGGAGAAGGACTGAGAGCGGCCCAGGCTGGCCTGGTGCCTCTCCACCAAGTCCCGGACAGCTGGGCTACTAGGACTGCTTTTTCGAGAGAGGGGCCGGGCCTCAGGTGGAGGGTGGGACACACTGGCAGTGAACTGCAGCTTCAGTTTCATATGCTGGCTCAGCTGGGTGGAGAGAGACAGATCAGCATCTCCACTTGGCTTCCAGGCCCCAGACCTTTCAAATCATCTTCCCCCTTGACAGGGCAGTGTTGGATCTAAATCCCGCCTTCTCGTGGCCTGGCTTTTTCATGCTGCCCGTTGTTATTTCATCCACAGAAGCTAGCAACCCCCATGTCTCCCGTCCCAACATTCTGCATAACCCAGCACACCATTCACCCCTCTCCAGCGCCTCCCCTGCCCACCTCAAAGAGCCCTGTCCTTAGAGCCTGGAAGGCCACACTAAAGGTGAGTGCACTGCCCTTCCGGGAAAAGCCAAGGTTGTTGAGGGGCGTGTGGCAGACAATGGAGTCTAGGGCAGCCTGCATGGCCCGGCGCTCCTCCTCACACAGCTGCTTTCCTGGGGGGCAGAAACAGTGACCACTAAACACATAGTGTTCCTCAGCAAGGGGCTTCCAACAAGCACAGTCTCATTTGACCCTCAAGGTTATCCTGTAGAGTGAATTGAGTATATCTTTTGCCAAATTTTAGAAAGACCAGCTTATATTTACTGTGTGCCCAGGTCTATTCTAACCATTTCACACATGTTAAATCTTTAAATCACCATAATCACCTTATGAGTGGAGGGTGTGTGGAGTATTGAGCAGTATTATTTTTTCCATTTTAGGGATGGGGAATCTGAGTATCAGAAAGGTTAAATATCTACTTAGGGTCACACAGCTTATTAATGAGAGGTAGTAATCAAACATACCAATACCAGGGAGTCCAGCTCCCTAATGCCTCTCTAAACTACCTATCTGTGACACGCACTCAGGGACAGAGCTAAAGCAGCCTGCCACAAGTCACCCACTTCCATGACTCCCTTTCCCCTACCTCTTTCGGGACAATTGCCCAGCCTGGTAGCAACTTACCAGCCTGTGCGTGCTCTGGGGTCCACACGAGCCTCACAGCAAGGAAGTCTTGGAGATTGTTCAGCAGTGTGTAGGTGACAGTGAAACGCTCATAGGTCTGCACTGGAGACTCACAAGAAGCAGTCATCACAAAGCACGGGCGGTCCAGGCGGATGCTGGGCAGACTAGATGCAGTGAGAGAGGAAAGCAGGATGTGTGTGTTTTGAAACAGGCAAACAGGGCGGTATTCACCAGGCTCCCACACACTCACCGGTAGTGGGTGTAGATGCTCTGGGTGAAGGGCAGCTTTGGGGTGGACCACTGAACCACAGCAATCAGGGGAACTTCTAGGCCCTGTGGGAGAGACAAAGGAAACCCCCATATATGTCACCTTTAGGCAACACCCCCTTGGCCTTTCCCTCCTGCTTTTTAACCTTGTTCCTTAAAATCACCAGCCCCTTATACTCACCTCCTTGGCCCCTGGAGGTGGCTGCTCATCCCCTCTCAGCTGAAACAGGAAGTTGTGTTCCTCCAGGGCACTGAGCGGGCAAGGGAAGCAGCCAGAGGTACCAGGGAGCCGACAAAAGGAGCCCATGGAGACCTCCCCAGATTGGTGACTAGTTCAGAAGGAGGAAGAGTTGGATCTTCCCATGCCAGAACTCTCGGCCCTGTCCCCATCCTCACCACTTCACAGCCCTGCCCCTCCCTAGGACCTCACCAGACATTGTCCACCAGCAGCACAGAGCCATCAGGCATGACAGGTAGATAACTGGCATTGAAGTTTGGGAGAATGCGGATATCCCAAATGGAAATTTCCTCCTGGGAGGAGCTGTTCAGCACTGTAGAAGGTAACCAGTTCAGCGCAAAATGTCCAGACCCTCAGACCCTACCTTAATCCCACAAAAATGGACCCATTCCCACCATCCTGCACAGGGTAAATGCCACCCAGTCAATGCCCTTGCTACTACTACCCAAAGCCTGAGCTGCCAATCTGCTCACCCTTGAGAACTGTCAAGTGTTTTCCAGCCACAGTGAACTGGCGGCATTTCAGAACTGGAGGGGGCAGCAGAGTCAGCAGGGTACTCACTGCAGGAAAGGGCGAAGGCAAGAATTTATGGGCTGGGTACAGACCTAAGCCAACCCACAGTTCTAACCTTTCTCTTTTCAGATATGGCATTTGCCAATATCACCCCTCCACTTTGTCCCGCAAATTCCAAACTCCAGCGTTTTCTCCCTGCATTCTCCCTACCTTGAGCTTTGAAAGCACTCTGCTCGCCCCGGAAGGTGTCTCCAGGAAATCGGGTCTGCAGCAAGCGCAGGTAGCCTTGATCTCTGACCTCTGGTGCCTCAACTTCCCGCTTCCACACAGTCACTACAATCTGAGCACAGGGTACACAGGACCACAGTCAAGAGGGGAGACAGCCAGCCAACCTTAGAGAAGGTGTGGTAATTAGAACAGCTCCACCCCTTGCCAATCTTACCTTGGCCTTAGGTGTCCCTGGGGGCAGTCTATCCAGTGAAACAGTGAGTGGGAAGATGACCTCATCTGTGGACACAATTGGTTCCTCCACAGGCAGCTGGGGATGTGAAAGGGGTGAAGAGGTCAGGATTGAGGCAGCCTGCAGAGTTCCCTTTAAGAGGTGCTTGGCTCCTCTTTCCCTCCCCTCTCAACTGTCATCTGTCTCCAGCTTCCCTCCAGTGTTTCCCTTCTCTCTGGTCTTTGGGGCCCAGCAAATCACACCCTCACCCCTGTGCGTGTCACCCCAGCTTCTCACCGTGGTCGGTCCCCCTGAGGTAGCAGGACCCAGGCCGTGGGTGAGAAGGGGGCTGCAGCCTCGAAACAACCCCCCACCGCCAGGATCCCCGCCCCCTGGGGGTTCAGGATCCTGGTCGCAGGAGCCACCACCCCCGGGGGCCCCGCCTCCGGCACTGACTGAGGCCAGGGCCGCCAGGGCGGTTGCCAGTTCTGCCCAGGCCCCTCGAGAGCCCAAGCCCGGGCCACCCCCGGCGCTGGAGCCTGCGCCGCCCCGGCAGCGCAGCACCAACAGGAAGCGGACAGTCTCCCCCAGATAGAGATGATTGCGCCGGGGCAGCGCCCGGTACCGGCCTGGGTCCCCAGCCAGCTCCGCGCGCGGTGGCAGCGGCACAGCCGGGAAGTACATCGAGTAGTCGCATTGGGACTCCATGGGGTGGCGAGGGACGGCCGTGAAGGGCAAGCCGCCGGGGTAGGGGCAGGGACTCCTGACACCCAACGGGAGCTGCGCGTGGCCAGGCCAGGCCGGCCCAAAGACACCCGCTGGGGTCGGGAGCCGGGACCCCGCGGGGCCGGAACCCGGTGCAAGGTGCGAGGCCGAATGACTGGAGAGAAGCCGGAAGTGGAAGGGAAGGGGCGTGGCCTCTGAGGCCCCGGAATTTGTGGGTGACCAGACCCTGGAGAAGGGCGGGGTTCAGCTGCGGCTAGGCTGCGGCATGGTTTTAGGAAAGACTATAGGCAGACTTTTTAAAGAAGTAATGTTAAAAGAACCCCCTCCAAACCCCGCTTCTCCCAGGAAGAAAGATGCTTCATCCCTTTTCTGCCCTACATAAAGCAAGTCCAAGTTTCAAATTATTTATTCATTTGACAAATATTTCATAGTGAAATGAGCATAGCTCAGTAACAAATATTTCATGGAGAAATGGATGCATTATTCCAATCCATCGTGTTCCAAACTTTCTCTGGCTTACACCATGGTTTGCTCCTCCAGGGAGCCTTTGAGAGTTCTACACAGACCTGGCAGGGGCCTGGAAAGGAGAAGGAGGCAAAACAGGGCAGAGGAGTGCTGCTAGGAGCTGAACGACTGGATTCCTGGGCACAGCCTGGTTGACTTTGGTTCCCACAACCGTGCAAAGTTCCATCCATCCTCTAGGGAGCAGGCAAACACTCTGAGGGAAGCAGAAATGTTGTCTGGCAGCCCTATACTTGTTACAGGTATCTTGTAGGTTAGCTGTTTTTTAACCTAAGACTCAGTGGTCTAATGTCTAGGGAGAGAGTAGCCTTGAAGTCTTCAGGGGCAGAGAGACTGTTGGAGGAAACTGCTTGGCATCTAGTTTGTCTTTGTACTGTAGCTCTGGGGTAGCCAGGCGCTCACACTCCTCCTGGTCTTGGAGGCTCAATCCACTCCGAAGTGCATACCCCAAAACCTTACTTGACCCAAACTGGAAAGGGCGGAACCGTCGGTCAGTGATGTATTTGGGGTCTAAAGCCTCACCCCCCACCAGACAATGTTTAGCCAGGGCCTCTCGGCGAGCCCGGAGCTCTGCCACAGCACTCTCCAGTCGACTCTGGCCATATTGCTTTATTCGTGCCCACAGGCTGTGGTTGAAGTGAACATAAAGAGCCCAGTCCAAATTGTTCCAGACTCGGGCCCGTGCAGTTAGCTGCCTGTCCTCAGCAGTCAGTCCACCATCGCTGACAACACTTCTGCCCTGCTGACTTCCAGCCTGGGCGTTGTGCATGAAGCCCACTACATCGTCTAAACCCCAGCACAGGGCATCTGCCAGCAGAACCAAAGACTCATCAAAGTACTCAGCCACCAGGACCAAATCAAAGACAGAGTCCAGCCAGGCCAGACTCCACTGGATGAAGGATGAAGACCCCAAATCTAAAGCAGCAGGGCTGGACAGCTGACTGTGACCATCAACAGCAGTGGGAGCAGGATGGAAGAGAGTATTGGGATCCAGGATGTGGGCTCGAGGGCCAGTACCAGAAGGCAGAACATGCAACTCTGGGGGATTGGGATCTTTGGGAAGATGAGGATATCCTCTCTTGGTCCTCATCTCTGGGGGGGAGGGGAGGCCAAAGTCAAACCATAACAAGTTGCGGGCATAGTGGTCTCCACGGGCCCCAGGTCGGTAGAAGGCTCGAGGATTAGCTAGGAAGGCAGCCAAGGAAGGTGCCTTGCGGAAGGCTGATGAGGTGGATTTATAGTAGGAAAAGGCAGAGCGGGCCACAGCCGCTGGGTCTCGGACAATGGAAAAGAAGAAGCTGTCAGAAGGCATGACCTGAAGCACCTGCAGAGGAGAAAAAACAGACATAGGGAGAAAGAACTGGGCCAGGAAGAAACTAAGTACAAGCCCAATGTCCACAGATACCCCAGCCTCCTCCTGCAGCTCTGCGAGGAACCCCCAGCTTTCTTAAATGGCTGACAGATCTTGGCCAAGTTATTAATGTCTCTGAGACTCAGTTTGCTCATCTACAAAATGAGGATACATGTGCCTTCCTTCCCAGTTGATTATGGAGGTTACATGGGATAAAGGATATGAGGGGAATTGGAATGTGGAACGCTCCTGGAAAATATTTATTTCCTTTGGCCTCGCTGCCTTGGTCAGTAAAACCTCTAAGAATCACAATTTGTGTTCACTTCTGCAGCAAAAAACTATTAAGTGCCTACCCTGGGACTCTTGGTCACAACTCTAAGGCATCAGGCCTTCACTTGTTGCAAAGAGGGAAAAGAGTGGCAACCATAATGCTGTCTCGGGTGTAGATGTCTGGTGTGCAGCCCAGGATGCGCTGAAAAACAGGGCACTTCTGGGGCTCCTGGACATCTCGGAGAGGGAAAGACACCTCTGGACTGGACAGTGGGGAGCCATGGTCACCTGGTAGAGAGCTGCCCTGAGACCTGGGACATTGGTCCCCCTTCTCAGCAAGAAAGAAGGTGGGAATTGGGCAGAGCGAGGTGGATGCACATCAGAAACCAGCTTTTGGGCTCCCTGACGGGTTTCTGCCTCTAAATGTGACTGTCATTGAATCTAACTTCCTGACATCATGTCCTCCGAACTGCCTGCTCATATGAGCATGCCTGCAGGGCAGAGCTGTGAAATGTGTGTCTTTGTGAAGGAAGAGGAGAACAGTACAGAGAATAGTCTGTGGCATCAAGTGGACCTGGAATAAAATCCCAATTCAGCCATTTACCAGTTAAGTAACTTTGGGCAGATTATTGAATTCCTCAGAGACTTCATTCTTCCATCTATAAATCTGGGTTAACACTTAACTTGAAGAATGTGGAAGTACATGGAACATGATAGGTATTCAATAAGTGGTGGTGACAATGAAGGTCATCATTCTAACCTCTGGAAAAACTTGCCTCAAAGATCATTGTCACTGCCTCACCCCCAGCAGTGGGCCTTTGCTGCCTACTAGATCACACTCACATTCCTCAGCTGCTTTCTCCAGATCCAGCTTTAACAGGAGTGTGTCTGCTGCCCCCACTCAAGTTCTACCACCTACACACACACACACCCCTTGCACACATCCACACCACCACACATTAGCTGATATTTTGTTCCAAGAATGTCTTGTGTTCTCACTACAAAATTATGCCCACCCTTTTCTTTAAAACCTACCTCTCCAGAAAGCCTCACCTCTTTTTGATGAATATTCTCCCCACAGTTCCAAATACAGACACACATGTGCACACATGCCACAGAAAGCACTTTGACTTTGGAGCAGATGGGCCTGGGTTCAAATCTGGGTCTCCGGGTTCAAACAGAGACCAGTCACATGGCCTCTCAGAGTCTTGATCTCCTCTTCTGTATAATGGAGCACTTAGTAATGCCTTCCCCGCAAGGTGAGGGTAAGATTAATACCCAGAACTCAGGAAGTATTCAATAAAAGTTAGCCCCTTCCCTGCATGTTTTCATTTGCATGTCGACTTTCTCCAAGAAAGAGCCCTCAGGTTTCTCTGTGTGTTCAGATGAGCATGTGAGTCCATGTACCCATCTTCCGCTTTAGAACTGAGGTTCCAGGGGTGTCAGGGCTGGGCTATGGCTTGGCATGTATGACACTCAAACTCTGGCATAAATGGTGAGAGGAGTGAAGGAAGACAGGTCAGAAGGCAGTGGCTAAGCAGAGAGCCTGGTAATGTCAATGGAAAGGACCAAGGAGGGCAAGGGGCACTTGGAGGGAGAGTTTGGGGGCAGGATTCAGAGCAGGCAGGGTGCTGACACTAGCTGGGTCAGCTGCTCAAGGAGGAGATTGAAAAATGCACTAGATAGGAGGGGCCAGGACTTCTGCTCTCAGGAACTACTGGAGACGGGACGGCTGAAAAGAGACAGGAAATTTCACCTTTGTGGCTCCATGCTCTACTTTTGGGTGAGGTGACGCCTGGGGCCTCCTCCACCGATAGTCTTGGCCAAAGGCCTGATCCCATCCCTCTCAGGTCCCACCCACTCCCTCTATACCACTCACCTCTTTCAGGTTGAATCTCATGTGATGACAGAGGATATGGAAGGGCAGCTGGGTGCCTCCACCCTGAGGGTGGTAGCCTTTGACCAGAGAGGCCTGGAAAAGCCTTGGGTAGCCAAACTGGTAGCGGGCAGGGAGGGCGAAGCGCAGCCCATGTCGGTCCCCATAGCGATGAAGCAGGCTCAGCACTGAGCTGCTCCCAGATTTATGCGTCTTCAGGAACACCAGTCGCTGCCGAGGAGGACAGGATGGAACAGCTGGTCCTGGGGATGGGGCCCAGCTCTGTTGAAGCTTCAGCCCAGATAGCCTGGGGAAAAGATGGGGGGGAATGTGTTCTGTCCCTTGCCAGCAGGTGGGTGGGCATCTTGTGGATCAAGGACAGAGGGTGTGGAGGCTCAGAGGGTGTGGAGCCTCCTCCAAGTTCCCGGCAGTCATGGGTAGGGTTGGGAGGAGCATGTGAGGGGGCATCTATCAGGTATCGGAACAAGATGAAACTCACCTGCTCTGGAAGGGTCCCCCCCAGAACTGGAGGGCAAATCCGATGGTCATGAAGACTCCCAAAGCCACCCCCAGGCTCCGAGGCCCCCAGAGGCGCATGGTCCTGGTAGGAGACAGAGGGCCCATGTGGCACAGGGAAGGGTGACAGGGCAAGGGTCAGGCACAGAAGCAGAGACAGCCAGAGGCAGCCGTGCAGCCGCAGAAGGCACAGGTTCGAGATCGGGGGTCATTCCCCAGGCCTGTTTGCAGCCCTGGTTGAGTCTGCCCCCTGAGTTAGCAGATTTTTGCCTCTGTCAGCGTCTAGAAGGGAAATGAGGGGAAGGAGGGGAGTCTGAGGAAAGGGTAGAACCTTCTCTCCTGCAGCTGAGAGTAATTCACAGAGGGGGTGGTGATGAGGTACTCTCTACAACCAGACCTAGGTGCCCCTCAACTGCCCCTCTGCTGTCAGTCTCCAGCTCCCCCAACTACCACATACAGTTTCTCCCTGAGCCTCAGGGATTTGAAGGGGAAGGGGAGAAAGAGACCCTGCCAGAAAGATCAGGCCAATCTGCTCATATGACAGTGAGGTGGACATTGCCAGGTCCCTGGCTTACTCCTGAGCTTCTGATAGATCGGGAACAAGAGTCCCATTTGGAGGCTGAAAGGGAAA